AATGACATTAAATGTGTGTTAACTGGTTTAATGACATTAAATGTGTGATTGTGTGTGTGATGATAAATTGTTGGAAATCATAACAACACGTGAGTCCAACGTATGACCGCTCGACATCGCTTCAGGCTGCGTTCATGGTTCAGCTCCATCCTGGAAATACATGAACTTATGAGAGGGAGGGAACATCTGCTGATACTGAAGACAAGAACCAGCAGGGACTGCTGTGGTGTCAAAATTAACACTTTTTTTTTACAAAATGTTCCTTCAACTTCAAGAAGCTGGTTTAGTTTCATCTTTAATAGTTTGGCTGATCTGTTTGTGTGTCCAGATCGTGTGGAGTGTGTATGTGTCAATATGTGTTTCTATATTTTGACAAATAAACTGTTTTTAAAATGAGACTTCTTGTCCACAAACTAAATACAAAGTTTATGTTGAACAAACGCAGCAAAAAGGGATAAACTACCAAAATGTCACTTAGTCCTGTGAATCACAAACGTGTGTGTGTGTGTGTGTTGCGTGTTTTGTAGTCATGATTTGTGTTCAGATGAGGTGATGTTTCAGTAAAACAAGAATTGTGCTTTACTGCCCAAGATCACAAGCACACAATAGCAGGTAAACAACACAAACAACAACAACATGAGGCTCAAACACAGGAAGACAACAGGAAACCAGTCTCGAAAATCTTAGGGAATATTTCCTGTGTGGGGGGGTGGAGGGGGAACAAAGATGGCAGATGAAGTGATGACATCAGATCATTATACCAACACTCTGCTGCTATAATGCCATCACACCTGGGGGTGGGGGGGGGCAGAAACAGGAAGGAGGGGCAGCTGATGGTCACATATTGCCTGACCTCTGGCTTCATCATCAGTTTGAGCTTTGACCCATGAGCAGTTCTGGGGGGACCGGGATGACAGAGTTCTGTTTTTCTGATTGTCAACAAACCTCACGAGCAACAGAATCCCAACGTAAACAACAAACAAACAAACAAAGAGTTGTGCTGACGTCTCATCACCAAGACTGCAACATGTCACGAGCTTCAGATGAGGACGCTGGTGAGACGTTGGTGAGACGTCAGCCTGAAGGGAGCCAGTTGCTCATGAGGTTTACTGAT